TCAGTAATGCAGAGGTTCGGCATCGTGTGTTCGGGCACAGAGATGATAATCAATTGGTGTCACCATCTTGAAACACCGACTTCGGTGGCTTGGACATGTTCTCCGAATGTCGTCCCAGAGAATTCCACGTCGTGCATTATTTGCCGACTCTGGGACTGGTTGGAAGAAGCGGAGAGGTGGTCAGTGCATGACATGGTGTCGTGGCATGAAAGAAAGCTGCAAAGGACTGGCTTGTGTTGGTCCTTCACGACTCCCTGGTTGGGGTCCGAGAGATGGTGCTACACAGTGGCTAGAGACGTTATCAGATATGGCTCAGAATAGAAGCCAGTGGCGATCCTGCTGTAACCTTCTTTTACTTTCTTCATAAAAAGTGGTTGTGTCTCCCTTAACTGAAAGATTTCTCTGACTGTACCTTTCCGTTCCCTCATTATTACTATTATTATTATTACTACACTACCTACACCAATCTCTTCGTTATTGCTCTCTTTTTTTTTACGCTCCTCACATTTTTTCTCTTCGAATCCTCATTGTTTCGTGTGGCGCATATATATTGGCTCTCTCTTGTACCAATATTTATGTGTTCAAATAAATAAATAAATAAAATTATGTGTACTTAAATCCATATAGTTACATGTAGATCAGAATGTATGGCACGATGGTCAAATACCAAGTGACTAGATAATTATATCGCCAATTAATAAATCTTGACTTGATTTTAATGTTTTATCACCTTTGTTTAAATAGCTATAAAAACTTTTTTATTTCTTACACTTGATAAATGAAAGAAGTACACTGATGAACAAGTATCTTTAACTTATGAAATGAGAGGGTGTACGCACATATTTTTATCTCACAGTTGTACCGTTATTCTAAGAAAATAGTCAATATCATCTCTCTAATATTTAGAAAGTTTTTCCTAGTTTATATATATATTCTTTAGTTCATCATCACTTTTTCGTTCTTTACATCACCTAGTCATCGTATGAAATCTTTCAAATTGCTCAATACTACTTTATTAAAAAATAAAAATATTTGGGATTTGTAGGAGTTATTAGTAATATAAGAATAATTAAAATAGATTGAATTTGTATTTTTATCCATATTAATTTGGATTTTTAATATCATTCGACCACTTGCGAGATTTATGAAAATAATTGATGTCAAATCAGCAGGTGGACGTTTAAAATTTTAATTAAATTAAATAATTTTGTAGTTATTTTAAGTCAAACTTAGGTTAATTAAATAGTAGTTTCGTCCTAATTAGCTACCTCTCAAGAGCATCAGTGGGATGGGACCTAAGAAGAGTTTAATTCTTTGAAATCACTAAATTTAAATCTATTTGTCAGGTAAGATGTTACTTCATAATGAAAAACATCAGGTTAAATGGATTTCTGCATACTACTCGATTAGACAATATCCTTATATCTTCATGTGTCTAATGACTTTAAGATTTGTCGAAAATTTTTTGTTGAGAACTTATTACTATTGATGTTAAATCATCCTGGGGTCAAGATAGTTTTTTTTTATTGAAGAGTGGGAATGATTGCCGCGTCGTAAGATGAATCGCTCGAAATTATAAATGTGGATAATTGAAAACTGACCTATCAATTTAAAGTTATCATATCTACATCATTCGTGATCGTATGTGCACAATTCTGACGAAATATCATTTTAATACTTGCTAGTTCGTATTAAAATTTAGATTTGAACTGGATAACAACTTTTTCTACAACAAATAAGAAAATGTATTTCGATAGTGTAATGAAAAGACGGAATTGATTTGAGGAATGTTACATATTCACTCTGGTAATGTTTAATGCATTTTAATCCTTATGGTAATGTGTCAATTTCTTATTCTTCCCATACAATATGGTATTTTTTTCTTTCCCCGATTTCCAATTATCACTTTATATTTATTGAACTACTTAATTAACCTTCATTTAGTTCTTATATGTAGATGGCTTGACAAGTATATATATAAACAAATTCTTATTAGTGTATAGCACGAATACATAACACTCCCTATAACAAAATTAAAATTTTTAAAACGGGGCTAATGATTTTAATGAACTTGTAATTAGAATATTTGATGAAGTCAATGATAAACAATTGTCTGTACATTATTCATCGACAGATATAATTAATTAGTCACTGAGTAATAACTAGTATTATTCGATCGACTACAAATATCTTAGTCCTACAAAAGGCCAATCGCGTTACAAATAGCTCTGTAGTAACTTCTTTAATGGTGAATCTGAGTGACACGAGATTGAGATCAGCAGGCGACACCAATTTCTTCGAGATTAAGGATAGGCTTTACTGAAAAGTGTCAAATAGCCAAAAATGTGAGTCCACGGTTTACTGTCGTCTGCTTTCAATCAACTAACACCTCGTCAAAGACAATATCCGTGGTAATGTAGGAGTGAAACAGTTTCTAAATATCTTCAGCTTTTTGTATACTTCAAGCTCATGAATTTTGTTTTCCAATTTCTAATTATACTCAGTGAATTAGTCTATGAAATTTAATAATTGTCATTTTTTAAAAAAATTACTTACTTACTTACGCCTGTTACTCCCAATGGAGCATAGGCCGCTGACCAGCATTCTCCAACCCACTCTGTCCTGGGCCTTCTTTTCTAGTTCCATCCAATTCTTGTTCATTTTTCTCATGTCTATTTCCATTTCCCGGCGTAATGTGTTCTTTGGTCTTCCTCTTTTCCTTTGGCCTTGAGGATTCCATGTGAGGGCTTGTCTTGTGACACAGTCGAGTGCTTTCCTCAATGTCTGTCCTATCCACTTCCAGCGCTTCTTCCTGATTTCTTCCTCCGCTGGGATCTGGTTTGTTCTCTCCCACAGTACGTTGTTGCTAATAGTGTCCGGCCAATGGATCTGAGGTATTTTGCGTAGACGATTGTTAATAAACACCTGTATTTTCTGGATGATTGTTTTCGTAGTTCTCCAGGTTTCTGCCCCATACAGTAGAACTGTCTTGACATTTGTATTGAAAATCCTGACCTTGGTGTTAGTTGAGAGTTGCTTTGAGTTCCAGATGTTCCTCAGTCGTAAATATGCTGCTCTTGCTTTGCCGATCCGCGCCTTCACATCTGCATCAGATCCACCCTCTTCATCAATGATGCTGCCCAAATACGTAAAGGTTTTTACATCTTCCAAATCTCCTCCATCAATTGTGACTGGATTGGTGCATGCTGTGTTGTATCGGAGAATCCTGCTTTTCCCTTTGTGTATATTGAGACCTACTGCTGCTGAGGCTGCTGCCACACTGGTCGTCTTCTCCTGCATCTGTTGTTGCGTTTGGGATAGAAAGGTCAGATTATCTGCGAAGTCTAGATCGTTCAACTGTATCTTAGATGTCCATTGTATCCCGTGCTTCCCTTCAGACGTTGAAGTCTTTATGATCCAGTCGATCACCAGGAGAAAGAGAAAGGGTGAGAGTAAGCAACCTTGCCTAACACCGGTCTTCACTTCGAACGACTTTGTCAACTGTCCTCCATGCACAATTTTTTTTAAAAAAATATATCCATTAAATTACTTTCTGGATCTTACTTAAACTAATGTTTCATAATAACATCAATCAAAGCCTGTATTAATGACACGAGATTTAGTCACATGATAAATAATCACTACGTGCAATACATGAGATTCTTGCAACTTTTTATCGTATTTATACACTAGGACTATCCATAGACAGTTTATCAAGTTCCTGTTTACGTATATATCAATATGTCAGTCAAAAATCATACTGTTTACTTTGGTAATACAAGTCACCGTTAAGTTAATTTTAAATATTTTCATTTTAAACTATAATTGAAGTTCTAACTGTGCTATTTTTAAGTTGTAATGTGGTATGTGCTACTGATATCGATAGATGTTAATAGTACGTGTCATAAATCGAAAGTGAAATGTCTGGCGGCAGAAGGTTAAGAAGACCATAGAAAAGAGAACGAGAACAGAGAATGATTGGTGTGAAAACAAAGGAATAATGAAGTCTGAGACAATTGACTGATATCTCAGAAATGAGGTATTTACTGCACGGTTCTCAGATTCTAATAAGATGTTCTGCAATTTTCTGTTCAAATACATCTGGTTGTCCCCGCCTGTATTCTTGTTCACTGCAGTAGTTGCAGAGTATTGGTTTGGTTTAAAGAATCATGTTAAACTAGGTAGAACTAATTTATTGTTTTGTCTTAATATGAAAATCTTCAGAAATGTAATACCCTTAACCCTGACTGAGATTGAATCCATGACTTCGAGGTTTTATACAAAAATCTGACCATTAAAACTAGCGGAGAGATAAGAAATGACACAATTCCAACAACAGTAAATTTAGAGTAAAGCTCTAAGACTATACAATGGCATTTGGGATAAATGCTTGAACTCTACTAGTCTCAACTTTACAATACAACTTCAGGAAATTATCCTGAATTAAGTCACTAGTGAGCTGATTATTCTAGTTTAGTTAAAGAGGTTTTGTGAAGTTTGATTTAATTTCCACTTTGTATATTTTACAGACCAATCCAATTATTTATTGAACATTTGATAATTTTTTACGTTTCTTCAGTCAATTCGTAATGTAGAACAATGTTTTTCATCACTGACTGACTGATAATGCATGTAAATTTTTCGAAAACATTATGAACACTGAACAGTTATTTCATTTTACTCTGTGACTCCTCAAACCTGTACATCCGTAACTTCACCCAGGACATTACTATCTTCCTACGATTACGATACCTTACAGGAAACTATGTCTAAACTCAATAGATTACACATACAAAGCTTTAATGAAGACCTATATCTTAAATTATTCATGGGAAAACATCTCAATCTAAACACACTTGATTCGATGGAGTGTAGCTTCCTATTGAGAATTTAATTAGAGTCAATCCGTGGGGAAAAAGCCGTTTCCGACTTAGTAATTTCCAATCACGATGTGAAATACATATACAGACAGTATGAATATTGTTTTTTAGAAAGCTTACCAGCAAATTGCACAGTTTGATTTGGATCACCATATGCATTCAGAAAAGCTTCCATATTGCCTGTCATATCCTCTGTACGTACATATGGTAATTCTTTATATTTTTCTGCTAGTTTAGATAGAATAAATAAATACACAAATTAGAACCTTGTTCAAGAAGAGCTTGTTTGTAAGATAGAGATTCTTTTGGAAGATTTTTCATTCTGTTTTACTCTACAGTTCAAGTACAAACAACTATTTAATGAGCAGAGATGGATGGTGGCTAGCAATGGAATGCAGAACGTGCGTTTCGTCCTATTTAGGACTCATCATTTGGATGTACCTGCATTTCAGATTTGATGTTCATTCCGTGACTCAAACCCAGTACTGTTAGCTTCAAACGACATCGCGTGATTCACTTAGTTAATGAGTTTAGATAGCCACTAGCTTGTGCAATGGGGTGAAGTTTTAATTTAATTGCAGTCCTAAACGTCAATGGGAAGATTCAAACAACCAATACAAAATGAATTATATCTATTTTATAGTTTACACAATGAATTAACCTTTATTATATGGGTACTAAAAACCAAGAAGAACCGAACGTGTGTTTCGTTCTGTTGTGAGACTCCCTATGCATAGCTGAGGAGCTCTAAAGTATGATGAAACAAGTGTCTTGTGCTTTTTAGTTATCAGAAGTTATCTCAATGATGTCAAGTAGTGATGTAAACCATAAACCCGTTACACTAATAATCTACTATCCATTAAAGAAACCAATCTCATTCAAATTATTTTAAATGTATGAACTGGCCTGAGGGTTTTCAGGTATAAGAGCTTTATGATTTATACTATCATGAATATGAAATACGGGGCAAAAAATCATAATATACCAGTGTAACTGTAATGTACTGAACAAAATCGTTTTCGTCCTATTATGAAAACTGGCTGGTAGTTTATTAAGTGTGCAGTGAAATAATTTACTAATATGATTATGCTAAATTATAGTTTTCAGTTCACTTGATTATTTAAACTCTTAATACTATCAATGTGAGCTAACTGACCATGTAAGCTAAGTAAACTTTCCATCATATATCTTAGCTTTATCAGCTCTTTCACATTAAATGGATAAAAAATAGATCATCTTTTCAGGATGTCTCATTAATTTAAGGTAGGGGACTTGCCAAAATATGAGTTCACTGAGAATTTTGCTATCTTTTTCTAAGAATAACGTCAGCTGAAGAACTGTTGAATATCAGGGAAAAACAGATACCTGTCATATTTTAATTTAGGATTTATCGTTAGTGAATACTAACAACGGTGTGATAAGTAATATCTTTATGTTTCATTGGTTTATGGTTTTTAAATTTAAATATGCTACAGAATAAAGTAACACTATAACTCAGAAGGATGTGGATTTTAAGACGAAGGACAAATGAAAAGTAATTAATATTGTAAGGTTCTCTAAAAGATAACCAATTAATGCATTTGCGATGTTGGAATTCGTATGTTATTTTTGACCTTTAACATTGGTGATATTAAACTAAACTTCCATCCATTGATCCAGTAAAAAACCTATGGGAAGTATATGACAAGATACTTAACAAGCCTCGTTCAGTTACAACTGATTAATCACTGAGTAGTGACGAGTGTCATGTTTTCCTAGTCGAATTCTGTTGATCGTGTCTTAAGCAATTGACTGATTATACTTGAATGTCATCTGTGGGGAACTATGAATTTATTTTATCAGTGACTATTCGGTTTTGTTTTTAATCCCTTTTGAGAATGAGATTGTTAACACTGATTACGTTTAATAGGGGTAGCTGTATATCGTTGATTGACTAAAATTGCAAATATAAACCTTTCGTATGCTAACTTAGTGGTTCAAGGATATTTTACTCATCATCAGAGCTTAATGTTTCAAGCTCATTGCCCCGTAGAATAGTGGATTTATGATTTGGAGGAGCACTAATTTTGAGCTAAACAACTATCTGGTGTCTTCTTTTATTTTAACTTGGTACCTCAATTATTGTCAGTAGGCAGTGAGTGTTATCTTCAAATTTATCATAGGCAGTAATTTCACACATTGTCTACACATTGAAATGTAGAACAGATTACTTAAATCATTAAAAGTCAGTTCGTAAAGTATACTACACATTTTTGTATATGTTTCATTCAGATTAGTTGTTTTTATTCTTAGAGTGGTCGTAATAACTGATTTTTCTCTACAAATCAAAAAACAAATATAATCAGTTGAGTTCTTGTCATACTGAAAGTTATTACTATTATCTAAGATAATTTAATAAGTTTAGTGTATGATTTATTCAGTATTCGCCCAACAAAATAAAATGAATAGAATATTTTTTTTCAAGTGCAATATATTTTATCACTATTACTGTTTCTAACTTTAAGCAACTTCATATCTATTCTTTGTTTGCTTTCGAAAATTAATTGCCCTACTGGTTGATAAATATGAATTACATCGTTCATTAAAATCTTTTAATTTGAAAGAAAATTGTTTTAATTTTGGATCTAAAGAACTCGGATATTTACGTATCCGGTCAACTATATCACTTTTGTAAATAATTTATTGATTATTGACGAATATACCATGAAAAATTGACAATTTGTCCAGTCTTTGTTTAAAGTAAAGGTATCAAATAACAATATCTGATCTCGACCACTAATATATAAAGCAAAAGTATAATATTTGAAAAAATTAGAATTTTAAACACTGAAATAATGTGTTGCAACTAGCTTTGACAACTTTTGAATAGGCGCTCATGCAGTGTCATCAATAAATCCATTTTATAAACACAATATCAAGCTCAAAAAGTGAATGCAAAATTAATGTACTAATTGATTGCGCATTCAGTTGTATAGTCTATGAATTTGTAAATTATTTAAGTTAAACTAAAAAAAGTTGGCTAGTCATTCATTTATGAATCCAACGACATATGACACATTGTAGGGATTTTTCGATATTTTGGAAACAATCTCATCACCTTGAAAATATGCAACTTTCAGTAGTGTGTAAGTTTACCTATTTAGAAATTCGCTGATGAAACTTAATCTATATCACGTATTTTCTCACTGTTAGTTACTGTGTGAATATCATGCACAAGTCAATATGGGAACACATTTTTACAATGAGTTGATTGGTCGTTAGTCCGTAAACTACGCACAATTACGAACATTTTACCAAGTTTACTTAACTATTTACGACATTGAATTTTAAACCAATATTGTAAATTGAAAAAGGAAATAATTTTAGTCTAATTGTGGTCTAGAGGTCAAGCGTTCGTGCGCAAGACTTAAGGTCTTGAGTTCAAGTCCCACTTAGGGGGTCGTGTGTGCGCACTAATGAGGAGTCACATACTGGGATGAAACTGGCGTTCAGTGCTTACAGGTTTCCAAAAATGGTCTAGTTTAAATCGACTCATAAATTCACCTATTAGAAAACTAAATTTGTCACAACATACTCTGAAACATTCATGGTTATATAATCATATATACACACATACACACGGATACATTTATACAAATTCACATGCACGTGAGATGACTGCATTACACTACTGGAAGTGATATAAGGTAGAAAAATTTCCATTGTCGGAATGAATTTGTAAGTCTAAAACGGTTAATTTAGTAGGAATGAACATTCAGAAATCTTTTGTCCATCCAGATAGATAAAAATGAAGAGATCAAAGTATCGGATACGAATTTGAATGATACAAAATAAGATAATAAAATAATAAAATATGTAATAGCTCATCTTACCTTAATTTAGATTTTCGGTGGTTTCGTACGAATGAGTTATAACCTGACTACGATCTAATTCAACACAAATAAGATTACTTACTTGTTCCTCTTACCATACATGGAGAGGCATAGGCCAGCCAACAGCACTCTCCATCCAACACTATCCTGGGCAATCATTTCCAGTTCTCTACAATCGCTATTCACCCTTTTGATGTCTGCTTCCAATTCTCGATGTAATGTGTTCTTCGGCCCTCCTCTTTTCTGTTTCCCTTCAGAATTCCGGGTAAGTGCTTGCGTCATGATGCAGTTTGGTGATTTCATCAATGTTCGTCCCATCCATTTCCAACGTCGTTTCCTAATTTCCTCCTCAGATGGAAGCTGGTTTGTCCTCTCCCACAGTAGGCTGTTGCTGATGGTATCCGGCCAACGGATATTGAGTATCCTCCACAGACAACTGTTTATAAATACTTGTACTCTCTTGGTGATGATTTTAGTAGTTCTCCAGGTTTCAGCTCCATACAGTAGAAATGTCTTGACGTTCGTATTGAAGATTCTGACTTTGATATGGGTTGACAGTCGTTTTGAGTCCCATATACTCCTGAACTGTAGGAATGCTGAGCTTACTTTGCCAATCCTTGCCTTCACGACTGCATCAGACCCTCCATGTTCGTCGATGATGCTTCTCAGGCACGTGAAAGATTCCACAGCTTCCCCATCAAGTGTTATTGGATTGGTGTTGTGTGTGTTGTATTTGAGGACCTTGGTTTTCCCCATGTGTATGTTTAGGCCTACAGATGCAGAGGCTTCTGCCACACTGGCTGTCTTCACCTGCATTTGTAGATGTGTATGGAATGGAAGGGCCAGATCATTTGCGAAGTCCGAATCGTCCAGATGATTCCGAGCTGTCCATTGTATTTCATGTTTCCCGTCAGATTTTGAGGTCTCTATAATCCAGTTGACTACCAGAAGAAAAAGGAAGGTGTCCTCACTCAGGCTGTGCTGGTAAGCAAGATCCCCAAATGTAACACAGAGAACACCAACGCAATCATTCTTGATAGAGAATCTCTGGAAGATGTATAATCTTTCATCTACCTGAGAAGCATCATCGATGAACAATGAGGATCTGATGCATTCGTGAAGGCAGGGATCGGCAGAATTTCTCTAAAGAAATTTGTTTTAATGTTGTACTAATCTCACGAATCCATAAAGTTTTTTTCTCCAGACGATCGCTTAACCTGTTTCATAAATTATGGGAATTACGTAATATTATCACGTTTCATAGTATGCATTGATTTTTTAAAATTTCTCAGCTGAATGATGTAATTTATAAAGGTTTGCTACAAATAGTTGTGAATTTATTTCCGTACATTA